ACTTTGCTTGTCATTTGCTGGGCCTCGAACCTGCAGTTAGCCTACATCCATTGTGATGTGGATGACCCACGTAAAGCCAGTCAGATCCATCCCTGCCGCAGGGCATGAGTCTTGCAGTGATGTAACACTATAGTTTTATTAGCTGGTTTGTTTAGAGTTTCTAAGCAGCTCCCATGTAAAGACAGAAAACATTTAAATTGGAAAGGTTTAAATGAAGAAGGGGTGTATTCTTAGTTTTAGCTGTCTGACTAATTTGTTCTGCTCGGTCACTAATGTGAACACTACAAGTTACCTTATCTTGCACGGGGTTTTACCTCAGGTTAGCTAACTCGAGACCTCAGCTAACATGGCACTCAAGAGGCCTCTGGCTTTGGTCACCTCAGGGAGGTGTATAAGGTTCTGCAGCCGTGAGGGAAGGCGTGATCTGGCACATACCCTTTCCCCTCCAAGATCATTTTTGCTAGCCTGAATACTTCACGGGACAGCTGTACTGCTGCAGGGCAAACACTGATGGTGGCCAAGTGCGTGCCCAGGGAATGATGATGTTTTCATGGCAAAAGGCTTTCCTGTTGTATTCACACCAGCTCTGCTCTGTGAAGCTGGATGTCATAAAATTGATTAAGCCTGAAATTACAAGTTGCAACTATTATCTCATAATTAAGCTTCAGAGATGACTTCGCTGATAGAGTCAACATTTCCCTTCAGATACAGTGTACTGTTCTTGGCATTGATCAGGACTGTGTGGACTCAGTATACACATAGAGATTTTATTTTTTTTATCTATAAAAATACTTACAGCCTTTTAGTCAAAAGGTGCAAAAGCTGAGAGTCACCAGGGAAATGCTGATACATAGAACCACTATCTGCTCAGTACCTGCATTCTGCAAAGGAAAGAATTACACAGTTAAGAAATACTCTGCAGCATGATGAAATAATTTATTTTAACTTTGCTGTCTGACTAGAAGTTCAAGATGATTCAGAGGAAAACCAGCTAATAACATAGAGACAAATTTGTGTCTTATTATTTCAAGTGAGAGGTATTTCTTATTTCCATTTGTACTGCTCTATGAATATACTTCATATGGCTTTTTCAGACACAGAATCTTCCCAGAAGCAAAGTATGCAGTAGAATAAACTACAGGGACACAATTAATTCAAAAGATGTTTTTATCTTTACAATCAATTTATAATCTATCTTTGCAATCTTTATAATCAATTGTGAGCTCATGATTTTATTTGTTCCAGATTTGTTCCTATTGTTTGGACTTTCATTTATTTCTATGTTAACTGGTTTATAAAGCTGCCAGGTTTCAGCTTGGCTCTGCACATAGACTGATTCTTCATCCATTCAGTATGTTTTTATCCCCTTGGTTTACTCTTTTATTCCTTAGAACTTATGTTTTACTTATTTGTTGCCAAACAGCCTCCGTCATGTAGACATCCCAGTGATACAAATAGAGATTTTATGGCACCTCCATATCAACAAATGAATGCAGTTTACCTACTCAAATGAAACTGGTATCTGGCATTTTTTAATTTTGCAATAAAGGGTGCTATATAAATAACAAGTGTTGCTATCTCTGTATCTAACCATTCAAGTGGCTCAGATAGTTGCTATGGTGCTGATCACAGTCTGCATACCCAGAGATTAAATGAATAGAACTACCTTCTGGCTCTGGGATCCATACTGGGCTTCTCTCGCTCCCTGTGCTGACTTTACAACAGGAAGGCAGCTGTCGATATATTGCTCTTGCTGTATGAAGTGTAAGCGACTGTTGCAATAGTGTGAAGAATGAATAGGAACTCAGGAAACACTGAAATGTTGAAACACCCGTGCTGTCTGCACCCTGTGCTTGCAGCTGCGAGTCACAGCTTAATCTTGCTTCAGTGGAGAGACACCCCTTATCTGCCGACTCGGGGCCAGTCTGTGAGCCTGAGCTCAGACGCTGCACCAACGCAGCCAGGCGAAAGAGGGTCGGGCGATCCCCAGACCTGCCCCACTGTTGGCCATACCGCTTGCGTTGTAGCATGCTGCCTGGCCTGATTTTGGCCCCTCCCCATCTAGCACCGCAGGAGAGTGTCCAGCCATTATTTCTGGGGGAGCACGCCCCAGGAGCCATTGCCAGTTGGAAATACCGACAAGCCTGTCTGGCCTGTCTCAGTCCCCTCCCCGCAGTCCTCCAGCAGGACCCAGGAGGCCTCGCACCTCCATCACACCCATTTGCATGAACAGCATAAATTCTGCAGCACAGCCCCCTCCTTGTTTCAACACTTCAGACTGCAAATACATAAACCTGTTCAAAATAATGATTATGCCTGAGGGTCACAGGTCGTACAATGCTGATATGGTGGGTCCCTGCTACTCGGCCCCGGAGCCCCTGACCCCATTTTATTTACCAGCAGAGTCGTAGCTACAGTGTTTAGATGAGAGGCGACTGGTAGGCAGTGTCCACGATAAACATCTGCTGCCGAGGACCAGCAAGGCTACAGAACCCGTGGAGCCAGGATGGTGACACCTTGGGCATTTTGGAAAAAGTTCTGTGTTACCGAGTTCCACTATGGATGTGGCTTTTGGCTCAAGGGCAGTCCAGAGCACAAACACCTCTATTTAGGGGCAGAGTGGCTAAAGAGTCACAGGGTACAGCTCTCCCTTCCTCTGGTGCATTTCACGATTGTTGCTTTGTTAGGATTTGCTGTTTTTCTCAATGACCAGGCCAGGGCTGGCCATCGCTAGACAGAGCCAGGGAGCAAAGGCTGAATCCAACGTACCAGGATGCTACAACTCTTTGGTAAAGGCAGGATCCAAAATATTTTCCCCAGACATCATGTTCAAACCTGATCAGCCACAAAGACATGATAGTGCCAGATAAAAGAGTTCAAATGTATTTGCAGGACTCTGCAGATGGAGGGTTTGGGTTTTTACCTCCTAAGGAAAATGCTGTGAAGGCACACAGCCTCTGCAGACCAGGTACAAAGACAGAGACAGAGACAAAAAAAACACTCTTTTCAAAGAGACAGTGGCAAAACAACCTTTTAAGTACAAGAAGTTTAAATACAACTTAGAAATCTTACAAAATAAGTTAAAGATAAATCAAAAGGTTTAACCTGCAGGGGTACCAAAAGAGAAAATGAATTTTGCTTAAAAAAAAAAAAAAAGATATATTGTAACAAAATGTAATGGCAGAAAATTATAAGTCTAAATTGTTAACATAGCTTCTTAGTAAGGTCAACTGCATAATATACAGTACCTTAACCCCTTTGAGCAATTTTTAAACACCACGCAGCTTAAATAGACTGAATACAGTGGTATTTCTTCTGGGAGCTCTGAATGCAAATCAAGAGGTAATAGTGGAAGAAAATTAAAAGATGTGCTATTCTCATTTCATTTTTTGTACTGATAATAAGGAAAGCAGCATAGACAGTGATATGGCAAAGTGAACCTCTAACTTGAATAGCTTTTCTTTCACTGTTAATCTGAAATGCATGACACCCTGCCTTTTCAAATATTCATAATGTTCTTTACTGTAGCCTGCATTAAAGTTTAGCAGGCACAAGCAGCAGCTGTCACCAGAGGTCAAGGTATTCGCAATCAAAGAAAATAATGACCAGATTAAAAAGTTACCATTAAAATTCCTAAACCAGAAGCTTCTACAGCAGCTTATCTTCACCTTGACCACAAACAGACGGAGAAGCCCTGACTCCAGGGCTGTAGCTGTGCCCAGGAAACCCCCACCAGCCTCAGACATCTCCCTGCAGCAGTGCCATGGGACTGGTCAGCCCTCAGCTGGGGTGACAGCATGGCCAGCCTCAGCGGCTGGAGGGGACCCTCACCCCTCTGCCTCTTCGGGAATGGACGCTGCTGCCCCATACCAACTCCAGCAGGACAAGGAGCTCCCCGACATGGCTGGTGGCTAAAACCTGACCGCCAGCTTCTCACCGTGGTGAACAGCTGTGGTCAATGTGTGCTACAGGAGCACCCGGGGCACGTCCTCCACGCATTTACCTACACACCATCCAGTAACACGTAAGACTGGCTCTTACTTCATCTGCCCTGTGCACCGCCTTAGCAATAAAATACAGCTTTCATACAGCACCTAACTAAGGAAGTAACTTGTAAATTCACGAAGGAAAGTAATCCAACCACAGTCTTGGTGGTTTATGACTCAAGGGATGGGGGGACTACTGTGAATAGGAAGATTCATATAATTGAAAGGGTAAAAAAGAGCATGTACAGCTACAA